CCCTCGGGGTGCGGGGGCACCTCCAGAGCCGCCCCCCGGCCCCGCTTTTCCACCCCCGCCATCCCACCCCGCCGTGCCAGCGCTTTGCCCCGGGGGGAGCTCCCCCCCCAGCCCCCCGTTCCCAAGGGGGGCCCGGACCCCTTTTTTCCGGTAAATCTCTTTCTATATAATTTTTTTTTGGGGGGGGGAGGTGTTGGTGGAAAGTTGCCGGTGCGCGGCTGAAGTTTGTGCGGCGGCGGGGTGAAGTTGTTGAGAAGCCGGCGTGGTTTTGAGGGGAAAAAGAAAAAAAAAAAAAAAGAAATAGGAAAATGGGGTTGGAAAAAATCAAGGGGTGGGATTAAGGGGAGGGGGGGCGGTGGGGGGTGGGAGGTGGCAGCACCCCGTTGTGGTGTGGGGGGTTTGGAGGGAGGAGAGGTGGGGAGTCACAGGGGCCGCCCCCGGGGTGGAATCGCCGAAGGAATTAAAAGTCGGGGTGACTCCGCTCGGCTCTGTCCCCATAGAACCGTCCGGGGTCCCCAGGGAGGGGACACGGTGACGCCGGGATGTCCCTCCTGCCGGGCACCCGGCTCTGCCAGCCCGGTCCGGCCGCCGCGTCCCCCCCGGCCGGGGGGAGCCCCCAAATCTGACGGTCACCCCCCAACTTAGATGGAGAGGCTTCGCCGTGAGGTGAGTGCCCCCGAGCCCCCCCTGCCCATCCCCCTCCTTCCCACACCTTCACCTTTTTGGGGTGACTCGTGGCCTCTTTGCGACGTCACCGTGACTTGGAGGGGGCTTGTCGGGGTGGGCAGGGAAAGCCCCTTCTTGGTTGGTTGATGGGTTTCTTTTTTTAAGGGTATTTCCCTGAGAAATGGGACTTTCTGCTGCCTTAAAAGCCGCTTTGATGTTTCAACCTCCACCCACCCCCCCCAAAAAAAAATCTCAGCTCATCCCTGGGGTGTTCCCAAAACACCGCCGTGGGATGTGCAGGACAAAACCCACCTTTACATTGAATTTCTTGGAATTTCTTGATATAAAAGAGCAAAACTTTGCGTGAAACCCACACAGGAGCCGTCGGGGGGTCCTCCAAGAAGCAGGGGGTGGCAGAGAGGGGAGAGCAGAGCCGTGCCCGAGGGGAGCATCACCGAGCTAACAAGTCTTGGCATTTTCTCCACCAAAAATTCCAACGCCTTCCATCGGCACTTCTGGTTTTACCGGCCGGGGTGGTTGGAACCGGGATCTCTCAATTCCGTGCCCGTCATGCCCACGCAGGAGACACAGGGAAGGGGGGGCTGCTCCGGCTGTGGGGTCTGCAGCTGGAGAGGTGGGAGGGAGGAACATCTGCTCGGGGGTTGACTTTTGGCGCTTTGCCACCCCAAAATTTGCTGCTGCTCGGCTTTTTGGGGGTGTTGCGGGGGCTGAGCCTTGCGCCTCTGAGTTGTGTCCGACAGGTTTTTCCCTTGGGATGGTGGGATGGGGCAGTGGGGACATGGAGACAGGTGGCTGGGCTGGCATTTGGCACATGGCAGGGCCGGGGAAAGACTTTGCCCTTGGCAAAGCGCCAGCAAACGCGGCCAGTGGTGAGGATTTGTCCAGGACACTTTTCCATGGAGTATGTGCTAAAAAAGGTGATTTATAAGGATGTTGCCGGAGCCGGGGCCGGCAGTGGTGGGATCCCCCTGGGAATCAAAGTGCCAGTGGGTCCCTGCCTGCTCCGGGCTGGTCCTGGCGGTGCCGGCGGCCGAGTGAGGGGTGTGTCACGATTCCCACGTCCCGGCGCCTTTCCCGGGGTGGTTTGGCAGACGGAGCTGGCCGGGCTGCCAGCCCCTTCCCAGCACCAGTTCCACCAGTTCCTCCGGCTCAGCTGGGCCCGGGAAAACTGGCATCTCCCCTTGCACCTCCATTGCTGCAGCCGAGCTCCTGAAACCTCCCTTGGGGTCCATTTCCATGCATCCCCATCCAGAGAGTTTGGGAGAGGAGGAGGGAAGATATCAGAGGTCAAGGTTTTGCTTTGCTCCCCATCCTGTGACACTACTGGACCCTCTCCTGCCCTCCCAGGCGGCTCTGGATGCCTTTGCCATTTGCATAACTAATTAACATCTTGAGAACCCTCTCATTAATTCCATGGAATACCCGGCAAAGCCTCGGGAGCTGCCTGTGTCCGCCCAAACCGCCTCGCAAAGGCCGGGGCTGCCGGAGGGGAGGGTGCTCCGACCCATCTCCCTGAGCTCTGGGGGGACAAACCTGAAATAAACCCCAAAGAAAACTCTATTCCCGGCAGGAATGGTCGCACCAGACCCCCAAAACCCCTTTTTGGAGGGTGGTGGGATGGGATGCTGCACATCCCTGGTGCATTCCCAGCATTGGGAAATGAACAACTCAGCCTGGAGTTGACAGGCTGTCTCTGAGCCGAGCACTGGAGATTAGGGATAATCTCATTTAAAGCATTACTAATAAAAGTTACTAAATTTGTCTATCTTGAGGGGTTTCCCTGGAGGCTTGAGGTGGGATTTTTTTTTTCCTCCAGCCTGAAATCGCCCCAAAACGTGTCTGGCATCTCCAAAAAAAGCACGGGGGTGATGGGTGGGATGAAGGATCAGCTGGGGTTTGGCTTGTTTCTGTCCGGCGCATCCCAGTGTCACCTGCAGGACGTCAGCCAGGATGTTCCCGGATAATCCGGAGCGGTGCCTTCGTCTCCGTGTCTTTGTTGGGAATATTTCAGCTTTGGGCTGTGATGGGAACAACTAAAATTACTCGGGAGCAAATCCCATGGATGGTCAGGCTGGAGGAGGAGGGTGGGAGGAAAGAGGCGCCTGCCGGAATGAAATCCCTGCCGTGGGTTTGGCAGGGACTTGTTGCACGGCAGAGCCGAGCTGGGCCAGGAAAAGGAGTTTTGCAGCCATCATGCCAGGCTGGAAATTTGGGGAAAACCAGTTCCCAGCACCAGGTTATCCTATTTATTCCCGTGGGAGCCGTGTTGCTCGGGGCAAAGGTTGTGTCCCGGAGGGCTCCGGCTTTGCAAGAGAGCTCTCAGCTCATGTGTGGCCTTTTTGGGAAGAGATGAGCTCCAGGGAATGTCTCAGGGATGAGGATGTTGGGTCTGTGCTTGTGTTTTCCACCTGGATTTGGGATCTGGTTTATCCGTCCCACTGTGCTTTACACAGGCTCTGGGATTGCTCCTTCTGCCGCAAATCCCTTTGGAAAACAGTTTGCACTGGGATGCTCCTGGGAAACCTTTGGGAATTTTCAATTAGTAGCAGTTTTGCCAGCAATTTCGCCAGGAATAGGCTTGGAAAACTCCAAGCATTCCTGGAGCATCACCTGGATGGGTAGTTTTTGGGGAATTCACTTTCCTGTTCCCCTTTTTCCTTCTCCCCCCCTACTAAATATTCCTGTGCATCCTAGTGAGACCTGCCAGCTCCAGACAAAGGTTGGAAAAGCCGGAGCTGATCCCACTGGGACTGTTTCAAGGATCCAGCCCCAGCTTAACCCTTTCGCCAGCCCATTCCCACCACTTTTCCCGTGGGAAAACATCCCCACTCCCCCTTTTCTTCACTGGGGTCTGGATTTTAGGGAGAAGGGGGGAGATGGATGAAGTGAAGATTCTTTGGAGGGGGAATTTAAATGTTGCAAACCTCTGATGTCCCCAAACTGATGAGGGCCTGAAATGAATGATGTCCTTAAATTATTGATGTCCCCAAATTCTCAGTGACCCCAAATGAACCCCACCAAATCAATGTACCCAAATTAACAAGGGTGCCAGGGGTTTAATGGCAGGAAAATATGTGTCCCTCCCGTCTCCCCCTCGTCCCCCCCAGTCTCCCCTCTCATGTCCCCCTGTGATCCCCCTCTTTTCCCCCCTGTGTCCCTCCTCCTGTCCCCTCCTTGTGTCCCCCTCATGTTCCCTCTCATGATGCCTCAGATTCCTGGAGGAATATCACACCCATGACCAGGGGTTGGGGGTCCTGTTACCCCATTTTTTCGGGGGTGGGGGTCACACGTCCATGTCCCTCTTGTGTCCCCCTCGTGTTCCCCTGTGTCCCCCCCATGTCCCTCGCTGTGTCCCCTCCTTGATGCCTCAGTTTCCCAGGGGACAATCACACCCATGACCAGGGTTTGAAGGTCCTGTTACCCCATATTTTGGGGTGCGGGGGTTGCATGTCCCCGCTCTGTCCATACCCCCCCATATTTCCCCCTCGTGTCCCCTCCTTAATGCCTCAGTTTCCCAGGGGACAATCACACACATGACCTGGGTTTGGGGGTCCTGTTACCCCATTTTTTGGGGGTGGTGGTCGTGTGTCCATGTCTTTGTCCGTGTCCCCCTTGTGTCCCTCCCATGTCCCCCCTCGTGTCACCTCGTGTCCCCCTCTGTGTTCCCCCTGTGTCCCACTCTTGTCTCCCCTGTCATGCCTCAGTTTCCCGGGCGACATGACCGGGGTTTGGGGGCCCCGTTACCCCATTTTTTGGGGGGCGGGGGGGGGGTCGCGTGCACCCCCTATGTCTGTGTCCCCCTCATGTCTCCCTGTGTCCTCCCGTGTCCTCCTCTGTGTTCCTCCTGTGATCCCCCCGTGATGCCTCAGTTTCCCGGGGGGGCAATGATCCGGGTTTGGGGGTCCTGTTACCCCATTTTTCTGGGGGCCGAGGGAGGCCGTGTGTCCCCGCCGTGCCCCTGTCCCCCTCACGTCCGTCCCCCCCCCGTGTCCCCCCCGTGGTCCCCCCCACAGCCCCGCTCCTGCGCAGCGGAGGGAGCGGGCGGGCGGTGCCACTGCGTGGGGAGGGGGGGGGGCTGCGCGTGGGGGGGAAAGAGGAGGAGGAGGAAGAAGGAGGAGGAGGAGGAAGGAGCGAAGAGGAGGAGGGGGAGGAAGGAGGAGGAGGAGGAGGAGGAGGAGAGGGGGGGAGCAGGGATGCGGCGCCCATTCCCCCCCCCGGCTGCGGCGGGGCGGCGGTGAGGGAGCGCGGCGGAGAGGGAGACAAGATGGCTTCCTCCTGAGGGCCGGCGCCGAGCGGGGCCGGCGGGGGCTGCGGGGGCAGCGCGGGGGCCGCGGCGAGGTAAGAGCACCCCTTCCCCTCCAAAAAAACACCCCTCTCTGCACCCCCAAAACAGCCCCGCAAACAAAAATACCCCCTCTCGGGGCATGCGGGGCGGTGCGGGTGAGGTTAAAGCCCACCCCCACCCCCCCACACCGGTGCTGGCGGCCCCGCGGGGCCGCGAGGACAAAGCGGCGGGGCCGGGGGACACTCACGGCCCTACCCCCCCCTTTGGGGCTGTTTTCCTTCTTTTATCCCTTTTCCTTCCCCTGCAGCATCGCTTCGTGGGGGGGGACGGATGGAGACGGGAGGGGGATAAGCCCTGAGGTGCCCCCCCCTCCCATTTGCATTACCCCACATGCTTGTGGCCTATATTAATTGTTGTTATTTATTAACCGATGCCGCCCATCGCCGAAATGTGCTGAGCTCAGAGGTGATGATGCGAAACAAGGGCGATGAGGCTCCCCGCGGCGTGACGTCACCCTGACGTCACCGTGCTGGTGGCAGCTGTCACATCCCTCGCCGTGACGAGGACTCGGGGTCCGGCGCGGGCACCCCCCGCTTTCCGTCACGCCGGGATGGAGGTGGGCAGCAAAACCGGCTCGTCCTCCTCGGCAGGGTCTCATTCACCCGCCGAGCCTGCGCCTTGGCTCGTCCCGCTGCCACGAGCGGTGGTTTGGTGGCAGGCAGGGACGCCACCACCGCCACCACCACCGAAGGGACATCGCCGGGGTCAGGCGTTGTCAAAGCGCGTGGCCGAAGTTTGGAGTCGGCGGTGAGGAGCGGCTCCGGCACCACGTGTTCCGTGGGGATCTGGGGATGCTGAACATCTCTCGCGCCCGCGTTGCGCCCGCCAACGCTGGAGCTGCCTCCGGCGCTTTGGGAAAAAGAGAGAAACCCTAGAGCCCCACGGCAGGTGCCGGGGTGGTTGGTGGTTGGTGGTTGGTGGGTGACGGGGTGTGCTGAGCGTCGCCGAGGTTGCATCATGCTGGGAAGGGCCGGGAGCAGAGTCCTCTGGGGTCAGGTTGTTATGGGGGCCCATAAAGGAGCCCTGCTCGTGGCCTTTGGCACCTCGTTAGCCCTGATGAGGTTTGTTTTTCGAGATTGCCGACATGGACTCTTCATCGCAGGTAATCCGGGAGGAGGTGGCTCTGAGGAGGAGGCGATGGGGTCTGGGAAGGCAAAATGTGTGGCCCCCCAAGATTTTGGCCTTTCGTGGTGTGGTTTTGCTGGCCCCACTGGGAGTGGGGATGGCGAAGCGGTGGCGTGGTGGCTCTGGGATGTGTGGTTGTTCTGTGGGTCTGCGTCCCAAAAAGCCTCTCCTGCGGTGTCCCTGGCACTGCTGGCACTCTGGGAGTGAGCTGTCCCTGGTCCCCTGTCTGCATGTGCTGAGGTCCCTAATCCTTGTCCCCATGTCAGTGGGGGTCCTGGTCTCCTGTCTGCATGTGCTGAAGTCCCCAGTCTGTGTTCCCATGACATCAGGGTCCTCAATCCCTCTTCTGCACGTGCTGAAGTCCCTAATCCTTGTCCCCATGGCACCAGGGTCCCCAGTCCCCTCCCTGCATGTGCTGGGGTCTGCAGCCCCTGTCCCTATGGCATCAGGGTCCCCAGCCCACGTGTGCCAGGGTGCCCGGTCCCCATCCCTATGGCATTGTGCATATGTTGGGGTCCCTGGTCCCCGTCCCCATGCCATTGGGATATTTGGACTCCTTCCTGCACATGCCAGGGTTCCCAGTCCCCATTCCCTTGTCCCCAGGTCCCTCCCTGTGTGTGGTGCCTGTCCATGTGGCACCGGGGCCCTCAGTCCCTGTGTGTGCCCTGTGTGTGTCCCTGTTCCCATGGCATTGGCGTTCCCACGTGCCGGAGTTTCCTGGTCCCCATCCCCACTGCACCAGGGTCCTTGGTCCCCTGCTTGTCTCAGTGTCCCCATCCCCATGGCAGCCGTGTCCCTTGTCCCCCACCTGTGCACACTGGGGTCCCTGCCCCTTGTTTCTGCAGCCTCGGTGTCCCTGTTCCCTCCCTGCATGTTCAGAGGTCCCTTGTCCCCATTTCTATGCCATCGGAATCCCCAGTATCTTTCCTGCATGTTCAGGAGTCCCAAATCCTCTGCCTGCATGTGCAGGGTCCCCTCTCCCCATTCCCATGGGATTGCCAGTCCCCTCCATGCATGTGCAGGGTCCCTTGTCCCAGTTCCCATTCCACTGGGGTCCGCAGTCCCATTCCATTGGGGTCCCCAGGCCCCTCCATGCACGTGCAAGATTTCTAGTCCCCATTCCCATGCCATTGGGGTTTCCAGTCTCCTCCTTGCACGTGCAGGGTCCCTTTTCCTTGTCCCTGGACACTGGGTCCTCGGTCCTCTGCCTCCATGTGCCAGCTTTCCCTGCCCCCATTCCGATGGCAGTGGGGTCCCTTTTCCCTGCTCCCTCCGTGTCCCTCACTCCAGGGAGGCAGAGAGCCTTCCCAATGGGATGACAGTGCTGAAACCCACTGTGCCCATCCCCTGCTGTCCCCACTGGATCGGGATGAGGCCGGGATGCGCCCCAAACCCAGCCCCACTGTGAGACCCCCTGTCCCCTGCTGTGCCAGCGCGTTAATCCCGTTCCTGGAGCTCTGTGCAAGAGGGTGCCAGACCATTTTTGAGGATGAAAGAGCTGGTTTTATTTCTCCCCCCGCTCCCTGGGCCGGCATCCAAGGGGAGATGAAATGAAACGGGAAGAGGCTGGAGGTGAAACAGCTGCGCTCAGCCCCGTCCCCACTCCACATCTGCCCACCACACCACTGCCAGGGCCGATTTGCTCCTGTGTCCCAGGGCCAAAATCCCCTTTTCCTGGGAGCTCGGCAGCGGCGGGATGAACGGGGATTTGCAGGAAGGGCTGTCGGAGGGAGCCGTGTCGTGGGGACAATGCCATGTGTTTGTTTGCTACAGCTAAAATGGCAGTTCTGAAGGGGAAAAAAAAGCGAGAGAGCCAAGTGCTTCTGCACATCCAGTCGCCGCATCTTTTGATTAAATGAGATTTTGCTGTCGAAGGGGGGAGCTGGGGACCACGAGCTCCAGAGCCTGCAGTTCCCAGCGCAGCCAAACGAGGGGAAAAAAAAACCTCTGAGCCACCCCAAGCCCTGAAAATGCCGTAAAAAACCCCAAATGGGTCGGAGCGAGTTGTGATCGCTGCAGGTGTCACCGCGGGGGCCGGGATGGGTGTGATGGGTGTGATGGATGGAGGGGTTGTCACCACAGGGCTGGTGGCACTGCCCTGCTCATCACAGCCCCGATTCCCAGCCTGGAAAAACATGGAAAGGATGGAGCAGCATCCTGGGAGCTGCAGCAGGAGGTGCTGGGGTGCAGAACGGGGATAAGGAGTGGCAGGGTGAGGGGCTCTGAAGACCCTGAGCCTCTCAGAGCCCGGTGGTGTTGCAGTCAAAGCCTCTGCACTTCAGGCCGTTGTGTTGGAGCTGCTGCAGTTAAAGCCCTCCCGCTTAAATCCGCGCCAGTTAACGCCACTGCAATTAAAGCCCTGGCACTTAATTAGCGCCAGCGCAGCACCAGCTCTCAGAGCAGTGCCTCTGTGAGCTTCCTCGTTGGGGTGGTTGGTGCTGGAGCACCCCGGGATTGTGCTGCTTGTCCTCTGGATCGCACTGGGATCACACTGGCATCACAGTGCCTGCCCTCCAGAGCACACTGGGAGCACACTGGGATTGCACTGCTTGTCCTATGGAGCACACTGGGAGCACACTGGGAGCACACTGCCTGCTGTCTGGATTGCACTGGAAGCATACTGGGATCACACTGCCTGCCCTCTGAAGCAAACTGGGATCACACTGCCCACCCTCTGGACCAGACTGGGAGAACAGTGCCTGTCCTCTGGAGTGTACTGGTAGCACGCTGCCTGCCCTCTGGAAAACACTGCCTGCCCTCTGGAGCACACCTGGGATCACACTGCCTGCCCTCTGGACCAGACTGGGAGCACACTGCCTGCCCTCTGGAAAATGCTGCCTGTGCTCTGGAGCACACTGGGAGCATACTGGGAGCACACTGCCTTCTCTCTGGAGCACACTGGCATCACACTGCCTGCCCTCCAGAGCACTCTCCTGGTCCTTCAGACCACATTCCCTGCCCTCCAGAGCACTCTTCCTGCCCTCCGGAGCACATTCCCTGCCCTCCAGACCACGCTGCCTGCCCGCACATGGCTTTTTTTAGGTTTACAAACACAAGGGCCCCGTGCACGCGCCGCTTCCCCCCCTCCTTGCCGTGAGTCACCAGCTCCGTCACCGGGCCGGGGAAGCCGGAGGCGGCGGCGCTTTCCCCGCGGTGCCGATGACCCGAGCGAGGGGGAAAGAAGGCACAATCACACTTTGTTTTTCTCTTCTTTCGTCATTCCCATTCCTCTTCTGGGAGGAAATGGGTGCTGGGTGGTCCTGGATGAGGTGTTTTCAGAGAGGACCCTGGCACCGGTGGGAAGGTGGGAGAGTTTAAACGCCACCGGCTTCCCTGGCTCCCTCACCCTTCGTCGGTTGGGTTTCCTTGGATTCAAGGCGATGCCAATCGCTGTGGTTTTGGGGATGGGTGAGATTTTAGCAGGGAGAGGCTGGTGAGATCCCAAAACATTGGCAGAGGTGCTGGCAAAAGCCTCCCAGCAGTGGCGGTGAGCGTGGCGATGCCGAAGCCCCCGCGCTGAGCTCATCGTGGAGCCGGTTGGCGTTGGGGCTGAGGTGGCTGCGGTGACTCAGCAGTGCCGGTGCTGACTCAGCGGCTCCAGCCCCCGGGGAAGGCAGCGGGATAGCGGGAGAGCTTGAAATTTTTGGGTAGAGAAAGGGCTATTTTTGATCCAGCGCGCTGCAGAGTTGCCGATGCCGAGCTGGTGTTTTCCACCCTGCGCGCCTTCCTCTGGCTTGGGAATAGGGATTTCATCCAGAGGGGTCACGTTTCCCACCTGCCACAAGGTGCTTTTCCCTGTGGGGAACGGGTCATGGCGGTGAAACCAGCTCCGGGTTTGGCAGAGGCGGCGTTTTCCCTGCTCCCAGAT